CCAGTTCGGAATATTGTATTCAAGACTTCGAATGCTCCAGAAACACTTGCACTCGGTACATGTGTGCTTTAGGCATTGGGTGGGGTCGGCAGGGACCATGGGACTTTTATGGAACAATAGGAGAAGACTTCCTCCAAAGGGGAGTGCTAAAAAAACATCTGTGTGAGATCAAGGCAATGGAGAGAATGAGTGAAAGTTAAAGGCGGGAGGAGAAAGAAGGAAAGGATTCTGGCACTGCACTCAGACAAAAAAACAAAACTGTTTTGGAAAGCACAAAGTACGGGCCTCTTCTATAAAGAGGGTCATGCATATCAGAACTAAATGAGTGACTAAGAGAGGAACATTTTTTCCAACTCTATTATCAAGACTGACTATCAGATATTTTCTTTACTTTTCCCAAATGAGATATTAAGCAGTATGTTGTATGGGAAATATATTTATGCAGAAATATTTTGGGGGGTTCCCAGAAACCTGCTACATCTGTTTATTGTTTGTATTGCTGTCGCAACCTGCAATCTGTTTTACTCATGAGGGCGCATCCATAGACTGTATCAATGATAAACTCAGTGACGTCCACATTTGCCTGTAAAAAAAGAAAGCTTTCTGACAATTCTAACGTTTTATATATCAAAAAATTTGATTACATTTAACCTCCTAAGACCCGAACTCTTCCACTGCATGCATTTTTAATTTCTCTTTGATATTTGGTCACATTGGGGCCTGATGAATGTAAAAACAAAGAATTACCAAACGTTTTTGTTTTTGTTTTTTTTAAGAAAAATAAGAGCCAGAGGTGGGGATAGGTTAATTGGATAATCCAAATTGCCACTAGGTGTGAATGTGCGAATGAATGTGAGTGCGAATGGTTGTCTGTCCTTGTGTGTTAGCCCTGCGACAGACTGGCGAACTGTCCAGGGTGTACCCTGCCTCTCGCCCTATGACAGCTGGGATAGGCTCCAGCGCCCCCCGTGACCCTGAAAAGGATAAGCGGAAGCGAATGGATGTATGGCTATCAGTCTCTCTCATCGCTGTGGAGGAATTTTGGCCCCTCCTCTTTAGAGCATTGCTTCAGTTCATTGAAGTTTGCAGCTAGTTCGTAATGATAACGCGCAGTTTTCTTAACTTCTTGCCACAGCATTTCGAACAGGTTGACTTCTGGACTTTGAGTCGTTGAAATACCTTCATTCTTTTATTTTTTTAACCCATTCTGTTATGAATTTGCTGGTGTTTATTCTACTGTTACATAAAGCTTAAACTGTTGGACACTTGTCTAAAAACTGTAGAATAATTTGGTATAGAAAGGAGTTTATGGTTAACTCGGTCGCTGCAAGGTTACCACGTCCTGTGGCTGCAAAACAAGCCCCGATCATCATCGCTCCACTACCATGTTGCTTTTAGCCATTTCTGCTGATGTGCTGTGTTTGTGTTTCCAAACGTGCCGCTGTGCATCATGGCCAGTCATCTCCACTGTGGTTTTCTGTTCAAAGGACATTGTTCCAGAAGTCTTGTGGTTTGTTCAGATGCAATTATGTAGAGCTAAACTGTGCTGCCATTCTAGATGGAAGGGGGTTTCTCCTGGCAACCTTTTCAAACAAGCCACACTTTCCATACAAGTGGCCACACTTGCTGATGATCAGTCAGTCCAGTGCATTTGATTATCAGCACCTGGCTGCTACTTTTCCTCTTCCTATGAAAGCAGTCGGGGTGCAGTTAGTTTTTCTTACACTGATTCTGTATTTTGGTTTAGTTATTGGTAGCAAAAATCTGAAATTTACTCTACCGTCATTCAAGAATATTCAGTCAGAAGTCTGGCTGGTGTAAACTGTACTTTATTCCTGCCTCTGCTGTCTTCCTCCCTGCAGAAAAACTTGGAAAGATCTGTTCTGTTTGTCTGCCGTGGGCTTGAGGTCATCACTGGGTCTGTCTGACAAGTTGTATGCTTTATTGTTAGCACATACCATGTGCAAGGAGAATGGCAGGAAACAGAAAAGGAATTTCAGTTCAGGAGAAATGATGGATGGAGACTAAACTGGGGCTGAAGGGTAACTATACTGGCAGGAAACAGAGAGTAGGACTTTTGTTGTTTCCTTGAACACTTTAGGTAAAATCATCACTGACTTCTCTGCCTAGGAAACCTCTCCAATAGAGTCTCTCTGTGCTTACTGTAGGCTCCTAAACAACACCCCAGTTCAACAAATGAAAAGAAAAGCAGGGAAGCGTCTTTACTTCAGATCCCATCTTATGTTGTCCCATAATACTTCAACTGAGCTGTTCAAATGTCACTGTTTCATTAACTACTCACTTTTATTTTTTATATATTTCTACACAAAGTGCTTTACAGAGAGGAACAAAAAATCCAGAATTGTTTCCACTACTGTTAGATGGGATCTTTCAAATTTTACATGGTGTGTAAAAAGTTGGACATGATGCTCTATATCAGAGTTAGTTAAAGTAGAGACATAAAAGTTACTGTGTTTTTTTAACTATTCAAAAGAACTGACAAATTGAAAAATTAACTAAATGTAAGCAGGTATTACAGTTAAAGCTGAATGAAATTATATAATTAAAGGCCAATTTTAAAATAAAGAACACTCTGAAATTTACTTTTGCCCATAAGAAAAGTTAAGTAATCCAAGTTCAGCATTCATCATATGATATTCCACAGCACAGAAGACGGGAACAGAATAACACAGAAGGATATGACCCAGGGCAGAAAGACTGAAAAGGGAAAATAACATTCACTAAGGCCCTAAAGTCTTTCCTGAATTCTAATATTTTAAAAAAATATATATATATATTTTAATTTTTAACAATATTACTTCAATATCAGCTCTAAAAATATGTTTGATCACTCACATGTCATGTATGTTTCCACTGACGGCTCTTCAGAGCTTGATCTAGAACTCCAAAAAAACCCCAACAACTCCAAAATGTCCTTTAAAAAAGAAGAAGGAAAAAAAGGGCCCTGAGGGTCAGATTTTCTGCTAACATGTGCTGATCCTCGTGATGTCCTGGCAAACCCTTCCTCACTACACAGAGAATTCTTTGTGTATTTCAAGAAAAATAAGTCAAATGGTAAGTTAGCAAGGGCGAAGAAGAGAGAAAATCTCACAGAAATATCAGGATTCGTAAACAGGCCAGACCCATGCTGTACGTTCTGTGGGGTAAAGCACAAACGCAGATACAAATCAGATCAGATTTCTATTTGACATAAGTTACTGGTCTGCTGCTCTTAATGGAAATTTTACCTCATCATGATCCACCAGGTTGCATTTATTTACTTATTTATACTGATTTCAGTTGTGATTTCAGTTTCTGTCGGAGCCATTCACAATTATTTTTATGTACTGTTATAATGAGAGAAAATTCAGTGAAAATTAGTTGTTTGACCTTAAAATACACGTAGGCTCTTTATTATGTTGTTTATTGTCATACCAGCTTTAATTATGTTTGTTTCAATTGTTTCTAATAACTAAAGACTTGTAATTTATAAAATCATAATGCAACATAATTTTCAAACAAAAATATGCAAAATTGTTTTTCAATTAAGATTATTCCATTAACTGGATTTCCCAACACATGGATTAAAAACACAGTTTTGAGTCAGTTAAGAAAATGAACTATTGGATACATACAAGTTCATGATATGGCAAATAACTGCAAAGATTATGACAGAGCAACAATTAACAGAAATTCCTAAATTCAGACTTCAAAACTTTACAAATGCAGATTAAACATTCTTATTTACTTTTGACTTTTAAGTTCCTCTTAGAAAATAGCTGTTATGAAAACATGGAAGGTCGCCACCAGGGATGCCTATTCCCAGACATCAGCCTGATCTTGACTGCATTGATCTTCATATGGTTGCATTGTTTGACAAGCACGTCTCTGGCAGTCCTCAAAAACCCAGCAGTGGAACTGCAGTGATTCCAGATGTGGCTGACACAGATATGTGGAACGACACAGTAATGTGGAACAACACATCGCTGTGTGAACACGAATGCTGCGTACCACTCATCAAACTCCTACAACAACCCACATGTAAGTGTAGCAGTTTAGCTGATGTGGTGCGACTTTGAAAAAACACGTTTTGTCTATAATCTCAGTGTGTGTGTGTGTGTGTTACGACATTTGAAAAATGCAGAGTACAGTATATCTAACCATGCATTTGTTTTTGTGCCATTCAGATGACTCACTCTTGGCTTTTGGTGATTTAGTCCACCAGGGACACACAAAAACTGCAGCCAAGCTTGTGTGTGATGTCATGTGTTTTCACAGGCCTTTTTAGCAATGCAAGTTCACACTTTGTAGAATATGAGAAGACTTCCTCCTCTTTACCATGTGCATCATCAAAGTGGTGCACTTCACAGCAAGAAGACTCCTGTAATGGACTGGTGTCCAGGTTGGACCCCACCTCCCCACCCCACAACAGCTAGGATAGGCTCCAGCCCTGAAGTGGATGTGAAGTTAAGAAAAAAAAAGCAAAACTGCAACATATTGTGCTTCTGTTTCTCCTTTTTTCTTTTCCATTTCTTCTTCTTTTTTTTTTTTTGCCTTTCTGCAAATCTTTAGCCAAATTGAAGTCAAATGTGTTGCAGACAATTCTTTGTCTTCTCTCAAAACTCTGTTTACATTTGCACTTTTGCCTACATCTTTGTACTGTACTTTTGCACTTGTTTTTCATAGACCGGTCAATAGAAATGGCTCATATTTCTGCTAGAGTATCACCTGAAGCCTTTCTTAAGTCTAAGCACAACCACCAAATTGCAGAAATATCGAAACAGTGCATAAATTGTGCACACTTTTGTGAAAGAAGACAAGTATTTTCACCAGGAAACAAACCTACAACACATAAAGCTTAGTCTGCTGCCAAGTATCTCCCAATAACATCTCATTATCCCATTCTGGCCAGCTAATCATGCGAGCACACACAGGAACACAGTAAAGGGAGGAAGAGGGACTGTTGCTCTGCGGGAAATGGGCAGGAGGCAGTTAGAAAGGGGGTGTGGAAAAAGCACAGAGTGAGAGGCCAAAGAGTCGGGCCATATAAAGAGAAAGAGAACACAAACCAGGCTCTATCTTTCTCCTCTATCAGACCTCACCGACGACCCTTTGCTTCCCCACCCTCGCACTAACCTTCAGTGTGTAGAAACTTTTTGCTCTAACACAGTCCCAGCACCAACTGAGACCAAAGAGGATGGCTACATCCACGTGGAGAATGAATGGACTCTACAGAAAGATGACTCAACCTCTGTTTCTCTGCACTCTGTTCCTTAGCAGTGAGTACTGTAATAAGTATTTATTAAAGTATGTTATTTTGCATTTTCGGGCATTCATTCTTAGTTAGTTATTCTATCCAAACAGAGTTTTATATATTGTGTGAAGTTGAACGGTTTCCTCTTTTTTTTGTATCTAAAAGTGTCTAACGTTCTACTCCATCAGCAAGATTTTGTTTATGTCACAGTAGCTTACAAACTAGCTGGGGATTTGCTTTGATGTGTTCCACCATGAGATTGCACACAAATGCAAAGAGGCATGGTTAGCAGTGGAGTAGCAGCAGACACAAAGGCTTTGCTCAGAAGTGGAAGCTGCTGTACATACTCATTATACTTTATACCCCGCAGTGTATCTCAGTGGAGCTAGTAAACCACACATAATATAGTCTCAGAATACACACACACACACACACATATATTATGCGGAATGTATTTATAGAGCTGCACATGTACTACATGTGTAAAAGTAACCACATTTCATATTATTTCAACACTGAGCGAAAATAGTTCTTTCATCTGTGTTCCTTATAGTAAAAGTGTGTGCCTCTGTGTGCGCAAGTGTGCAATTATGTGGATGTGTGTGGACACACTGGGCAGTCCACTCCAAATAAGTCCGAGGCCTGATGTTAATTGCAGGGTAATGTACGGCTTGGACGATAGAGCTTCCTCGCTTGTTGTAAACCAGGTCTAGTTCTAGTTCAGCCCAATGTAACGACTTCTGCAGAGCTAAGGCCACAGGGGCGGTAAATGTTTGGAGTGACCTTGGGAACACTAAGAGGAGTTTTCAAGATTGATGGAAAATAACTGAAGCTTAACTTTTAAAGGGGAAACAATCATGGGATGGCAGAACATGTTTGTAGTGTAGTACAGAGGCATACTGATGCAGGCATCTTGCCTGCATCAGCAGCCTAACAGATGGTAATTAAATTTACATTGAAATCTAATTACTCTGGGCACACCCTGTCAACGCAGATTACTTTTTTCGATGTATATACCCTAGTATACAAGTCACAAAGTCATCTCAAGAGGCGTTACTGTTCAGGCAACATGCTACTCCTTCAGTCTTTCTAATATTTAAAAATGTGAGAAATAATGTCTGACAAGTGATCTAATAACCAACCATGTTTATTTGTGTTAAGCAATGAATGATATGCACTCATACAGTAATGGACCTTCAATGAAAGGGACTCACTTGACTTCAAGAACAACTTGTGGCTCACTGTTTTGCCAAAGAACATTGGCATGTGAACAGACCAGGGATGAAACCTGTAATTACTAAAGCGCTAAAGCACCTGAGCCCCAGTGACCCTGGTTATTTGTGTTCTAATCCAGTCTAGTTTTATTATGTCAAGAATTTTGTATAATTTAATTAACTGAGTTTGTTTTCACCCACTTCTTATTATGATTTCAGCCATGATCGCCTCGCCTTTTGCTCTATTTGCAAATCAATGTTTAAGCAGTGGTCTTAATTAGCATTTCAAAAAACAGGATATAAACATTGCACCTTTGTTTTAGGTTTAAGCACACAGCTTCTGATTTCTACTGTAAGAACTCTGCAGTTGTGTTGTCTGCTCACCCGTCCTACGCTTCTCACCACA